GAAAGTAAATGTTTTATCAATCTTTTTAAGTTGAGAAGACAATAAAATGGCAAAGTCAAAGATAAAACCTAAACTACTTATAGGCGGAGAAAAAGTAAGACTGTTCTGGAGATAAAGTAATAGAAAGAAAATTGATAGAATTTTTAGACTTAATAAAGCATTTAGATTTGGTCATTAATAGCAGTGCCATTAGTAGTTTATATTTATGAATAAAAAAATCTAATATATTTACCTAAGTTAACTTGCAACCCAAGTTTACCATTATATGCAATCTGTAAATTAAAAAACGCTGTGGCGGTGAGCCATATACTTATAATAATTAATTTTATTTCAGACTCAATGTTTCGTCGGTAACTTCCTGCACTGTTTGCACGGGTCCTAATAGAAATTGCAGTAGAAAGGCGACATGGAGAGTTTGATACCTGTGATCAATAAATTGCAAGATGTCTTCAACACAGTTGGTTCTGATGTCATTCAACTACCTCAAATTGTTGTCATTGGAACGCAGGTTTGTGTTTTGTCATTTTCAAAAGCCGCAATAATTTATTTAATTTATTAAATTTGTTTGTTTGCTAAAAACACCTTGGACCTGGAGTAGCTAGCTAGAGTTAAGTTATTGTTGGGTGCTTTGTGTTACAGGTTACAGTCACAAATGGGTTTACATTACATACACGTACAGTAGAATTGCATTTTACTTTATTATATTATATATATATATATATATATATATAATAATGGTTGCTTGTCATATAAAAATATATTTTGCGTACAGAATAATATTAATTTTATAGAGTTTTCTATTTTAGTTTAATTTTAATAGGTGGTGTTGTTTGACTAATTTAATTGAAGTTTAACTAGTTGAAAATAGGGCCAAGGAAGGGTTAAAAGTTTAACTGTTCAAGTTTACTTAAGTAGCTTCTTATTTTAGACTTAGTTGGAGATTTAGTTAGGGTTAAGAAAACAGTTTTGCATTACATTACATTGTAATTACAAAGATATTACAAAGATTACATTAATAATTAAGCTAAGCCATGCTATGTATGTTTACTTTTTAATCAACCTTTTCAAATGTGCCATTCAAATGTGCCAGATTTAAGAAATAGAAGTTTTGATTACAACGCTAGCTAATTTATACATATACATTGAATGCAGTATAAATATAGGAAATCAATATGCAACATTAAAAGGCTGATAATGCTATGCTCACAAACATGCCTTAATATTTCATAGCAATAAATGTGAATAGGAAATTGTTTAAATTTCAACAATATTTATATATAGTATTATAGGTCAGGGGTAGATAAACTTTTTGCTGTGAGGGCCGCATTGAAAACTATTTTAACTTTGGGGGCTGCTTATAAATATAAAATGTTGAAATGTTAACTG